TCTTCTGTAAGTGATTGTAGAGGCGGTTGCTAATTGCAGCAGGTGGTAGGCAGGCAAGTGATTGGTCGATAGTTCTTTGGTTCTTTTGTATCCTTGCCTTTTGAAAGAAGGAAAGTGATTCCTGATGTCAACCACTTAGGGCTATTGCTTGGGTCCTTGATGGTGTCATTCAAGGCCCTGGTTAGTTGTTTATGGAGGGCACTTAAATGCTTAATCCAGAAGTTGTGCAGCTTGTCTGGGCCAGGAGACTTCCAGTTGTGGGTCCGCTTGATGGCCTGCTGTACCTCACACATTGTAATGTCAGTCCATACATCCATTGCTACATTCTGGAATGCTTCCTCCTCTTGTTTGATCCAAGTGGCTTTGGTATTGTGGTCTGTGCCAACTTCCAGTATTCCACGCCAGAATTGATCGAGTCGCTTTTGAGAGGGAGGTTCCTTGATGGTGATTTGCTGCTCGTTGAGATGCCGGTAGAATTTGTTGGCATTTTCATGGAAGAGCTTATTTTGATAGTAGTGCTCACTCCGCTTAGTAAACCTTCTCAACCTCTGAGCTTTGGCCTGTAGTTCCATCTTTATTTCTTGTTCGAGCTCGCATATGGTCTTATTCCTTCTTCGGCTCTTGCATAAGATGCTCCTGGCCTTGGCATGTACTTGCTTTGTTGTGACACCTTTTTTTATTTCGCTAAGGATGGAGAGGTCCTTGCGATGGTTTTCAATTTTTGTTCTGATTTTCTTCTTCCATGTTGGTTCTTATGTGGGCTTTGTAACTTTCTCTTTTGCACTCTCTTTTGTGACTTTTTTTTGCTCTCGTGACTTCTCTCTGCTGCAATAACAGCAGCAGTCGCGTACATTAATTCATTGATTTCTGATAAGTTTAGAAGGTTATCTTTGATGATATTGGTGAGGGCCTGATTTGCAGCTTGAATATCGTGCCGTATTGCCTTGTTGAGATGAATATTTTTCAGGTTTCTGCGTTGATCCAGGGGGATTGCCTGAGTTTCAAGCAGCTTAGTAGAGATTCGATCTTCCATATCCAATACTGATTCACCTTCATGGGTATCCGTATGCTGCGGTGTTTGTTCAGCCTCGGGCTCTGGGGGTTGTAGGTCTTCAGGTTGTTCAGTGGGGAAAGTGTTGGTTGCGATGCATTATTTTGCTTTCGGACAGCTGCCACTATCTGCTCAAGTTTAGTGCCGGTGAGCTTCTTGTTCTTAATCCACCTCTTGGTATTAGCAAGAGTATTTGAGTTGGTGGCTGTAAAGATGTTTGGATTCCTGCCTCGCCAGATCGTGTATGTACCTTTTACTACCCCGCCATCAGTGTTGTTCTCTTGGGCGAAATAATAGGACCACATCACATCCTTGTATTGATCCTTTGTCCACTGGTTTCTTGTTTTTCTGTTGGTTATTTCTGCGTTGGTGGACTGTGCCTACGGTGTTAATGCTGCTTCAGTTAGGCCAACTTGAGATTGGACCTCGGTCTGGTTGCTATCTGAAGCTTGGCTGTTAAGGTTTGCCGACTCAATAACCGATTTTTCGACCTCAGTTTGTTCGGCGATCACTGAGGGACGCGCTCTTTGTTGACCCGCGCGATGATCGATGCGGTATGACTTTCGTATTGGCTTATTCGTCATGGTATGATATTTACTATTTAACTCATAGTTAGGGCAAACTTTCCTGGACATCAGGGCACGTCCATACGTTCGTGGACCATAATGTCGCAGTTATTAGGAGTTTGCTCCTCCAGATCGAGAGCGGTATTTTTTATCGAGACACCATCTCTAGGGGGTTGCCGTTCAAGGCTAAAGAGTCCCTTCTACCCATGAGACAGACTTGCCCCCGTCGGACGCCAACCCGATACTTCAAGGTCTCGGAGAGAGCTAACAGGTACTACCCCTTGCTCAAGGGTGACCTGGAGGTAGTTGTGACAAAGGGTAACCTCATTCTCCCACGTTGAGACTCCACAACCGGATGCAGTTTAATCATATGCGAAAATTTATCTTTATTACTTCTTCTTAATTATTATTAATATAATTATTATTATATTATCCATTAATTAATTATTAATTTGTTTATTTAATTATTATTATTATTAATTGTCATCATCAATCACAATCCACATGCAATCATTCACATCCCAATCATCATCCATCAATTACTATTGTTGTTATTGTTATTAATATTGTGAGCCACGGCTATATATGAGGTTGTCTTTATGGTGTGAACTTTCAGCGTTGAGAAAGGACACCTCACGATTGCGCGAAGCGACGATAGATCGAGTGACATCGCACGATATAAGCCTCTCCTGGATCGTGAGTTTATAGTTATAGCTCTCTCCACAAATTCAGAATCCGTTCGGTTTCACGATCGTTTATTTGTACCTTTGTTATACGAACCCTCAACTTCAACCACGCTGAGCCAAGGGCAGTAATCGCAAAACATAGCTATTAAAGTATACCTGTGGTATTCCCTGTAAATATTAACTTGCAATATAGACATGCGCTTTAACGAGTGCGGTAGCTATATCTGCAGAACAATCCACGGAACAGTGACGTGGTGCTGTGTTCTGGTTTCATTATTTCACTTATTACGTTTAATCAGAGTATAATACATGTTGCGGTCATGCGTGTTGTGTGCGTGTGTGTGTTGTAGGCCCCGTCAGAGTCTTCCCTGGGGTGTGGCATCGAGAGCTACGTGTTAGACTACAGAGCCGGTGCGAGCGGTCCCTACACCAATGTTCTCATACCAGCGACGCACACCAGGTGACTGGAACACTCTCCATCGCTCCCATCGCTCCCATCGCTACTGTTCACTGCGATTTCATCACGCATCTTTAGCTCTGACTTGGGCATTCACAAATCATAATGAAAATGATGTGATTACAACAATGATAATTAATGTATACCTACAACTATAATTAATAAAATAAGTATAATATAATAATTTATCGTAATTAACAAATAAATATTGATAATGATCACATAATGATAGGCCCTACTGGTAATTATTATTGAAATAATATACAAGTTGGGCTTTTTATGAATTTCTATAATAATCATAAAACAAATCTATGCCACACCATCCATATCTATATCTATATCTATATCATATTTATTTCCATGTCTGCCATACACACATACACGTAGTTGACAAGCATGCATCGTCATCGTTTTGCAGCTACACACTGGAGGAACTTGATCCCGGGGTGACGTACGACATTAGATTATCTCTGAACACGACCGCAGGGGAGACGTCAGACTCCGTACGACTACAAACGACAACGTCGAATAATGGTAGGTGCATGTACACTGAATGTTGCTATTTTCATTGCATTCCTAAATTTCTCAAATTTCGTTCTCAGAATTTACTCGAGGTAGTTGTGATATTGAATAATGTGAAACCTAACAGTACCATAGATATTACAATAATATCGTACGTTGTCGTTTGCAATAAGGCAGATTTATCCTACTTCTGCTGTTGCTGTTGTTTTTGTTATTATTATTATTGTTGTCGTTGTTGTTGTTGTTGTTCTTCTTCTTCTTCTTCTTCTTCTTCTTCTACTTAGTTGTACTTGTTGTTGTGGTTGTTGTTGTTCATGTTTTTGTTGTTGTTGTTGTTCATGTTTTTGTTGTTCTTGTTGTTTTTGTTGCTACTACTATTGCTACTACTACTAGTGATGATACTGTTAATACTAATAATTATTACCGTAATTTTCATCTTTGCTACTAATCCACGCGATTTTAAATACGGTACAAATAAGTTACGATCCGTAAGGAAAATAGAGCAACGTTCGGCGATGGTTTTACAGCGCCCGGCACGGTGCAGAATCTGGTGACAACTGCTTCTAACTTCTCCGTCGCCGTGACGTGGGACCCTCCCATCGTGGTGGTCGACAACATGACGGGCTATGTGGTCACCTACATCCTAAAGAACCGCAAGGTATACTAGCAGTGCAATGCCGTTGACGTGGTCGTTCATGTACCGAATATTTAAATATCAATGTTCAATTTAGTCATTTATTCAATCAAAGTATAATACGACCCTAAACGATAGAGAGAAAAATTGTCATCGTTGTTGTGCAGTTTATGCGATCTTGATGAACGAAATTCAGAAATGCAGTTTACACACACTTTTAGAATATTATACACCTTTTTTTCGGATACATCTTTTCAGAACTGCGAGACTGTTTCCCGAGGTGCTTCACAGATGGCGACAGTGTCTATGGATCGTACGTACGTGGAGTTGGAAGGGTTGCTGCCTTACTCGGACTATGAGATATCCGCCCAGGTGCAGGCTGCGAGCGGGAAAGGGCCAAAGGTCAAGAAGCGTGTGCGAACACTTGAAGCAGGTACCGGAGAGAAGGGCGACGATTTGTGTTGTGTGTGTGTGTGTGCGTGCGTGCGTGCGTGCGTGCGTGCGTGCGTGCGTTGCGTGCGTGCGTGCGTGCGTGCGTGCGTGCGTGCGTGCGTGCGTGTGTGTTACTCTTCTTAACCACGTGTGCTTGCAAGTTCGCAGGCAGACTCGCACTCGCAGTGCTTGCGTACAGGCGTGTTATGTACGATCATTACACGATTATGTCGACCCCTGATTATATTCAAACACACATAAAATACCTGCACACGTCACAAAACATCGTCGGTTTAGACATTTTCCTACCCTTTTCAGCACCAGATGGCGCTCCTGAGGTGATCATGTTCAGGAACATTGGTGAGAAGAACATAGACGTTGGTTGGGAGCCAATAGAATGCCTGCGCTCAAACGGCATGCTCACGCAGTACGAATACAGCGTGTCCGATCACCATGGCAACGTCAAGCAGACAGGCAAGGTGCCCGCGTACGACCGACAGGTGAGAAACGAATGATAATAATTCAGAAATCAAATAATAATTAGTGTTCTGGGGGTAATTATTACGCATGCGGGAGAATCGGTTGTCATATATATTTAAAGTGCATATTACATCCATGCTTGAGATTCATCCAGCATGATATTAGTCAATTACTTTAACATTATAACGTGCATAGTATACACATACTATTCACTGTATGCTATACTATATACAGTTACTATTTATTATGTACTACACTATATTATGTAAACAATATGTATATCAGGGAAATGGCAAAAGTGTCCTTTATAGACAGGTGTCTATTATATGAAGGAGGTTTCACCGTGTAACTGCCACTCAAGGACCCCCCCCCCCCACCCAAAGTGTCTTTTATAGACAGAAACTGTTCAAGTGATATAATTACATGTTTATACAAGTTTGACTACATATATATATATACTATTGTATACAAGTGTTCATGATTTTAGATTCACCTGAAATCGCTAACTCCGTACACGGAGTATGACGTCGCTCTACGTGCGAGAACCGTCGCCGGTGCTGGACTGTACAGCCCGCCGGTGCACTTCAGCACGCTGGAGTCAGGTGAGACCAGTCTATAATTACGTTAGAAAACAGTCTATAATTACGTTAGAAAACAGTCCATATTTACGTTATTAAAGCCTATAATTACGTTCTACACCGATGACACTGTAGGAGTGTGTGTGTGTGTGCGTGCGTGCGTGCGTGCGTGCGCGTGCGTGCGTGTGTGTGAGAAAGACGTCGCTACTGGCCATGGCGACAAAGCCGCGCATAGATTACTTTTTACTTCAGGTCGTCCTCCTCGGTCGTTTACATTAGGGAGGTTGTCTCGCCATACTAACTACTAAATCTAGAATAATCTGAAAAAAGTTGCGTTTCTGGAAAATTTCCAGACATCCCAGAGAAAGGCGTGATCTACGTAAAAGAAATGGTGTAGTATGCAGACTTTCACAGTAATGGCGATTGAAATGGTTTTACGGCACCATCAATGAATCTTTTCTCCCAACACTTTGCTTCTCGAAACTTCGCACGTTCATCTTGATAATTCCTTTCCTCGATGCTAGCGAAATTTTTCCGCGTCTCCTCGTGCTACGTATAACACATTATTATTATTATTATTAATGTATTCATCGGTGAGTTTAGAGATGATAAGAAAGGGTGGTGAGACGTGTGTCTCTCTTCAGTGGTTGTGATGATCTGGTTTGGAAGACCCCGACCCTTGTTTGACCACGCAAACACCTGCAAGTAACAAACCTTCCTAACACCAAAGACATGTGTGTGTGTGTGTGTGTGTGTGTGTGTGTGTGTGTGTGAAGGGGAGGCATTTGACCGTCTCAGTGAGACACAGATCTACTGCCACTACACCGTGTGTGAAGTGGAGGCCTGGGCCGCCTCTATGGAACACGGATCCACTGCCACTACCCCCGCGTGTTTAAAGGTAGGCATGGACAGTCTACATGAGACACAGATCTATTCCCCCTACACCGTGTGTGAAGTGGAGGCATAGACCCCATAGGATAGTCTCTATAGAACACAGATCTGTGCTTGCGTGCGTGCGTGCGTTCATGGCTGCGTTCGTGCGTGCATGAGTGTGCATGTGCGTGCCAGTGCATGTGAGTACATTCGCGCGTGCATGTGTGCGTGCGTGTAAGTGCGTGGGTGCATTCGTACGTGCATGTGTGTGTGTGCGTGCGTGTGCGCGTGCATGTATGTGCGTGCGTGCGTACGTGCGTATGGAGCAGGGACGTTACCTGTATGATGTACTGTGTGTAAGGTATGAGATCGACGAGGGAAATGCTGCTGCTGTTGGAAGCTGGGTCGGTCACAGTCACGTTCAGCTCGCCGTAGCCAATTGCACGCTTCCATCGTCCTGTCACGTGACTCTCTAGCCAATTAGAAGACAATCATATAACGTAGACCTAAGTACTGAGCGGAGAAGTGGAGCTATGATTGGTAAATATTGAGTTATCACTATACGCACATTAATAACATATTATTGAATGATTTCATTGGAATGGAATTTAGATTACAGGATTTTTTTTGCATTATTCTTATGTATATATAACAATATATATATATATATATATATTGTTATATGTACGTATCAAACACTTAGTAAATTCTATAGAGCATAGAATAGACGTTATAGTTACGCTGAGAGGGTCTATGTCCCCCAGGGTATATGCCTAATATGCCGGACCGTTCCTCACAGCCCTACCTCACTAACGATCTATGGGAGTGCGCCTTTCCGCCCTAACCCCTAAGACCTTAAACCCTAACGATAACCACATATCAGCATACCGTACCCAGGGTACGTTCCGGCAGTACCTGCCTGGGGGACATAGACCCTGTCAAGCTATAGTTACACTCTCCGTCGCTCGGCTCACCATGTCAGCGCTGCGCGTGTTGCGGCTGCCGCTCTTCCAGTAGTGCACCTCGTACTGTACGATGTTGCCGAGAGATGGCGACGGCTTCTGCCAGACGACGGTCAGTGTCCTTGACGTGACCGATACAGCCTTGACCGCGTCCGGTTCAGCTGCACTACGTATGGCAAGCAGAGAAGCGCGTGCTTACAAACCCCCTTTAGATATACAGATGCTTTACTTATACAGATCCCTTTACTTATACAGATAGCTTTACTTATACAGATCCCTTTTTACTTGTATTTGATTAAATGCAATACAGACTTAATTTAAATAATAATAAACTAATAATAATAATAAATAATAATAGATCTGTTATACGTAAGCATGAGGAGACGCGGAAAAATTTTCGCGTAGACATCGAGGAAAAGGGAATTTATAAGATTAACGTGCGAAGTTTCGAGAGCGAGTGTGTTGGGAGAAAAAATTCCATTGATGGTGCGTAAAACCATTTCATCAGATTATTCTAGATTCAGTAGTTAGTAATGGCGATACACCTTTCCTAATGTAAACGACCGAGAGGACGACCTGAAGTTAAAACGCATCTAATGCCCGCGGGCTTTCGTCGCCATGGCCAGTAGGACGTCCTTCTCACACACACGCAACGCGCACTCACGCACGCACAACACACACACACCCACCACACACACATCACATCCACACACACACAACAACACACACACACACACAACACACACACACAACACACACTACAATACACTCCTACACGCTGTCATCGGTTGGTAGAACGTAATCTATAGGCTTTAAAATAACGCTAAATATAGACTGTTTTTTCCCTAACGTAAATATAGACTGGTCTCACCTGACTCCAGCGTGCTTGAGTGCACCGGCGGCTGTACAGTCTCAGCACCGGCCGACGTTTCGTCGCACGTAGAGCGACGTCATACTCCGTGTAAACGGAGTTAGCGATTTCCAAGGTGATATCTAAAATCCATGAACACTTGTATACAATAGTATAATTATATGTAGTCAAACTTGTATAAAACATGTAATTATGAGTCTATAAAAGAGACTTTGGGGGGGGGGTCCCTTGAGTGGCAGTTACACGTGAAAACCGTCCGTGAATATAATAGACACCTGTTCTGATATAAGGACAAGCTGTATGTTGCCCATTTCCCTGATATACATATTGTTTACATAATATAGTGTAAGTACATAATAAATGGAGGGTGAGAAGTCGGTGTAAGATAGGAGTTTCTACTATGAAGAGCAGGCAGATGGTGACAGGCGTGTGGAGAACATAGTTAGATGTTTGTGTTTTAAGTCAATTCATTTGGAGCGACTGTGATAATAATGCTTATGAAAATCCAATCACCAACACGATTTATCAGTGCGTTGGAGCATGGTATAATGCATTCAAGCATGCGATACCTGATTGAGATATGAACTTGGATATCAAACTTATTAAAATATTTATATATATTCACCAGCACCGTAGCATTAATCTCCATATCGCAAATTATGACCGTAATAAGAATAAATTAAACCCTAATACCTATATCTCCAGTAACATCTATAAATTATAATTAACGTGTTGAGTGAAAATTCCTGAAGTTTATCTATCAATTCGTTTTTTCATCACTAGTATATCGAGCTCGATTAACCGTTGCGAGGTGAGCCAACACTTGCCCCGTGTCTAGCTAATAGACGACTTGTGCAGCTCATCTATGGAAGTGCCACGACTATACTGGGCATGTCAAGCGCTGGTATCATAACAGTCGTGCGTACTGTGCGCGTTGAGAATGCGCTCGTGACTTAGAGCGCATGCCATTTGCGTGTTGGACTTGGCCGTTCCCGCTATTAGTAACGCCAATCTCAATAGAGTCGGTCCGATCACTCCCTATGTTCTTTTCCTCACCAAATGTTTCTGAACATGAATCACCTCAGGAGCGCCATGCTGGTGCTGGAAAAAGGGCTAGGCAAGAACTTGTGCTAAAATCCGGACGATGTGTGATATATTTTTTGTGCAAACGTGCTGGTCAGGTATCTCTATCATTGTTGCTGATCCATCATGTAAATGTGAAAGAGTCCCAGGAGGGTCGACATAAGTGCGTGTAATCAGTCGACTGCAACTATAGATCCTCCCCCTGTGACCTGCTCAAGCACTGCGCAGCTCGTCACTCCTCGAGTCTTGCCTCGTCCGAACTTCTGGCAAGCACACATCGTTAAGAAGTAAACGACGACACCGCAACCACGCAACGCTACGCACGAGCACGAACGCCACGCACGCACTGCATACAACAACACCACACCGCTAACGCACGCACGCACGCAACTTGCACGCACCGCACGCACGCACGCTCGTACAACACACGGCCACACAGCCCACACAACACCCAATCACAAGAGTGCTGGCCGCCTGTCCTTTACATCCGGCGACCGTTGCTCAAGTGGTTCCGCTACACGCTCTTTTGACCTTTGGGCACTTTACCCTGTCTCGTCACTCCTGCTACCTGTGCGGCGCGGATATCTCATAGTCCCGAGTAAGGCGCAACTCCTTTCCCAACTCCACGTAACGTACGATCCATAGACAACTGTTCCCATCTGTTGTGAAGCACCTCGGAAAACAGTCCGTTCTGAAAGTATGTATCGTCGAAAAATAAGTGTGTATAATATTTCGTAAAAGTGTGTGTTAAACTGCATTTCCGTGGATTTCGTTCATCCAGATCGCATAAAACTGCAAACAACAAACGGATGACACCATTTTCTCTTCTTATCGTTTAAGGTCGTAATTATACTCTTGATCTGAATAAATGACTAAATCTAGTCGTTGAACATCTGATATTTTAAAATATTCCCTGGAGCGTACATTTTGAGTGGTATTGAAGGACCCGTACCGCCACGATCTACGGAGACGTCAGTTTGCCAACGGGAGGCGAATTGCACCTGAGTCGGAACGGTAGTGCAACGAGTGAGAGGGCGTATCTTCCTGTGCCGGTTCTTCTTCGTTTACAGCGATGAGCTGCTAGGGCCGCGTGTCGAACCAACATAGCCCGTCGATTGTTGTCGACCCCCCACGTGAGTGCGAGGTCCCCTACGTGCGGCGCGACCGAGTTAGGCTTTAGCAAGGTCAGTTGTCACGAGATCTCCCTTGCATCCGTGCCCGGGGCGCTGCAATCAGCAAATGACACATCAGCCGAACGTTGCTCTCGTATTTTCCCCTTTTAAACGGAATCGATAAACTTAGAGTTTTTGTTACCCGCATATTTTTAAAATCGGCGTGGTTATTACTAAGGTCAAATGACTCGAATACATTACGGTAATAATATCTTCAGTCTATAGTATTTTAACAGTAATCATCACTCTATAGTATTAGCTGAGGTAGCCAAATAGTATCAACAACAAAACAACAAGAACAAGCAAAACATGAACACACACCCCAAACAACCAATACAACTCAGTGTAAGAAGAAGAAGAAGACACCAAGAAAGCAACAACAATCAACAACAATCAAACATATATATCAACATTCCTGCTATCCTAACATAAATAATAATAACAAAATACCACAAGCATCACATGCATAAGTAAGGGATAGACACTCTTGTCTGATGCAAAAACGTACCAACGTATCGAATATTATTCGTAATCAGTGTCTAATGGTTAAAAACTGTAGTCCCTCTTCACACTATCTAGTTCGAATAATCACAACTAACCCTTCGAGTAAATTCCTGAGTAACCGACAATTTGAGACAATTTTTAGGTAGTTGCACGATGACGAATACTAGCAAACATTAGGTGTACATGCACGCTACCACGTTCTATTCGACGCCGATTGTCGTTTGTAGTCGTAAAGCAGGAGTCCTGAACGTCTTCTGCGTCGTGTTTCAGAGATAATCTAATGTCGATACCCGCGCGATCATAGCCTCTGTCCGCATATATGCAAACACAGCGGAGGCGGTCCGAACGTTCGATCCAAAGTTTCTCAGTTTGGTAGGCTGGCAAAACGATTTGACCGATGCATGCTCTGTACCAACTACGGTGTGAGTGGTGGTGTGTATGGCAGACATGGAAATAATTAATGATATCACATATAGAGTAATATGATACTGGATTGGTGTTTTTTGTGGACACATAGATTAGACCTGTGTTTCCTTGAATGATTGTATAAGATAAATTCATTAATATAATAGCCCAACATGGTTAATATATTTCAACAATCATAATTACGCCAAGTAACTGTCCGTCGGGGACGTATGGAACGTGAGCAGTTTAGCGGCTAGCGTATCAAGACGCGCGTTTAGCTGTGATTTTACTATTGTATTCCACATTAGTTTCTATCATAGCTTTCGTATGGCGGGTGCGCTGCATACTTGTGACTTGGCATGTATTACAGTGCCAATTAATCAATAATTTATTTGAATTTAGATTGTACGATAAATGGTGATTTATATTAATATCTTTTTTATAAAAAAAAAAGAAATTATTTAATTAGGTTGTAGGCAGTCATTGACCCGTTATAATAATCATGTAGGCGTTGGATATGATCTACAGATGACATATTCTCATGTAAGGCTTAATCCTTGTGATGCCCAAGTCCCAGAGCTAAACGATGCGTGATGAAATGCCGCCAGTGAACAGTAGCGATGGGAGCGATGGGAGAGATGGGAAGAGTGGGTACCAGTCAGACCTGGTCGTCGTTCGTCTGGTCATGGTAAGTAACATCATGGTAGGGAACGCGCCGCTGCGCACGGTCTCTGTAGTCCTCGAACACTGTATCTATGCGATGCAACAGCCCAGGGAAGACTCTTGATCAGCGGGCCCCCTACAACAACACACAGAACTTTAACCCGTCTGTGAGCTTAGCTTACCTAGCACAAACGCTATCGACCATGACCGTGTGCAAATCATGTATCTATACTTTGATTTAAATAGGGTAATAACTGAATATAATGAAACCAGAACACAGCACTCGCACCGTGTTAACGACGTCCAAACTGTTCGGTGATTGTATTATGCCATAGATTTAGTTGTGAGCCGGCCATATCGAATCACGTTTTAATAGTAGGCACTGTTTTTTCGAGTATTGGCACATAGTTTAATATTTTTACATGGGAATACCGACAGGTAGTAGCTTTCTAATTTTAGCTATGGTGTTTTGCAAACGTGTCACTGCCCTCTTGTCTCAGCGTGGTTGAAGTTTAGAGGGATTCGTAATAACACAACGTAATCAAATACACGATTCGTGAAAGCCGAACGGAGCGATTCTGATATTTGTGATGGGAAGAGCGTATATACAGCTCTAACTACACGATCCAGGAGAGAGGCTTATACGTCTGTGCGATGATGTCTATCTACTGATTCTATGCGTCTAGCCGTCTTCGCGCAAATTCGTGTGAAGGTGGTCGTTTCTCAGTCGCTGAGAGTTTATCACACCATAACAATGAGATTAAACCTTTTCTGTGAATAGTAGCCGTGGCTCCACATTATTGAATGAGATCAATAACAAACACTAGTAATGTATGTGAATTGATGATGATGAATGATGATGGATGTATCGCATGATGTATTAGAACAATAATGATGTAAATAGATAAATCAAATGTATTATAAAGCAATAACTATATTATATAATGAGTTAATTAAATAATAATATATTATTAGTGGTATAAATAATAATAAGAAGAAAATAAAGTGAGATAATAAGATTGGTTCCCTGGCTTATGACTTTAAACCTGTGCATCGTGTGTTAGTTGCGCAGTCCTCTAATATACGTGAGAATTGAGTTTACTACGTTTGGTCACAATAACCCTATGATCCAGGTGCCACCCTTGAGCAGGGGGTAGTACTGTTTATCTCTCTCCGAGACCTTTTGAAGTTCGGTTTGGCGTCCGAATGGGGGCAAGTCGTCTCATGGGTAGTAAGGGGACTCTTTAGCCCTTGTAACGGCAAACCGCCTAGATGATGGTTGGGTCTCGATAAAAAAATACCGCTCTCGTCTGGAGGAGCAATACATCCTTATAAACGTTGCGACATTTATGGTCCAAGCGAACGTATGGACGTGCCCTTGATGTCTAGGAAAGTTGCACCTATAATATGATTTTTATAACTAGTAAATATCATACCCATGACGAATAAGCCATACGAAATGTCATACGCATCGATCGTCCGCGCGGGTCACGAAGGAGCGCGTCCCATTCCAGTGAATCGACCGACAAGCATGAGTGAAATCGAGTTATGTGAGTCCGGGCACCTTAAACAGCCGCTTCAGATAGCACCAGAACGGAGGTCCCAAATTCAAGATTGGCCTAACTGAAGCCAGCAATTAACAACACGTAGGCACAGTCCCATAAACGCAGTAATAACCAACAGAAAAACAAAGAAACCAGTGGTACATAGATCAATACAAGGGTGATGTGTTCCCATTTTATTTGCCCAAAGAGAAACAACAACTGATGGCGGGGTAGTACAAGGAACAATACACGAATGCTGGCGAGGCGGAATCCAACATCTATGATTTATATAAACAGCTACACCAATACTCAAATTAGCATCTTGCTAATATACCAGAGAGGTGGATTAAGAACAAGAAGCTCACGGCACTAACTCTGAGCAGATAGTGGCCAGTCTTGTCCGAAAGCAAAATAATGGCAATCAGCAATCCAACAACTTTCCCCACTGAACAACCTGAAGACTTACAACCCCAGCAGCCCCGAGGCTGAAAAAACACCAGCAGCAAATACGGATACCAACATGAGATGAATCAGTTATTGGATATGGAAGATCGAACTTTCTTCAACTAACGTTGAAACTCCAGGCCAATCCCCCTGGAGTAAAACGCAGAAACACTGAAAAAGATTCATGCTTCCAACAACCCAAGGCATATACGCACGATATTCAAGCTGCAAATCAAGCCTCACCAATTATCATACAAGATAACCTTCTAAACCTAATCAGTAAAACCCGACCTCAAATGAATAATGTACGCGAATGCCTGCTGTTTTATTGCGAGCAGAGAGACTCACGACACACACACAAGTTCAAAAAGAGAAGTCGCAAAAAGAGAAAGTTATCAAAGCCCACATAAGAAACCAACATGGAAGTAAGAAAATCAGAACAAAATTGAAACCATCGCAAGGACCTCTCAATCTTAGCGAAAAATAAAAAAGTGCTCACCAACAAGCAAGATACATGCCCAGGCCAGGAGCAAAATCTTATGCAAGAGCGAAGAAGGGAAATAAGCCATATCGACCCGAAGCTTCGCAACAGCAATTAAAGATGGAACTAACAGGCCGAAGCTCACGAGGTGGTAAAGGTTATTAACTAAGCGGAGTGAGCCACTACTACATAAATATAGCTCTTCATGAATAATGCCCATACAAATTCTACCGCATCCTCAACGAGCAGCAAAATCACCATCAGGAACACTCCACATCTCAACAGCGACTCGTTAATCAATTCTGGCGTGAGGAATTATCTGGAAAGTTGTCACAGACACAATCCAAAGCCATTGGGATCAAACAAAGCAGGAGAAAGCATTCCAGAATTGTAGCAAATGGATGTTATGGACTTGACAATTACAATGATGGTTGAGGTACAGCAGGCCCATCCAAGCGGAACACCATAAACTGGAAAAAGTCTCTCTGCCCAGACAACTGGCACAACTTCTGAGATTAAGCCAAATTTAAGTGGCACACTCCCCATATACACTTAACCAGGGCCTTGGAATGACATCATCAACGGACCCTAAGCAATAGCACCCATAAGATGGATTTGACATCAGGAATCAACTTTCCCTCTTTCAAAAGGCAACGAATACAAAAGAACCAAGACTATCGACCAAATCACTTGCCTGCCTCAACCATGCTGCAATTAGCAACCGCCTCCGATACAATCACTTAACAGAAGAGCGCATACCTACACAGATGAGCAGAAAAGACTTGGTAAGATAGAGCGATCTAGAGGTGCAAAGACAACTGTTAATTCTCATCTAGGAAACATAATATGACGAGCCATGGACAAAAAGCTCAGCAGGAACCTACGGAATGGGCGTATGAATTGATTAATAAGAAAGCCTTCGACAGTAACCCAGATTCCTGGAATTTGCAGCCATGAGAATCTATCCGTATGCAAACACATCATTCAGTTCATGGAAGCTACAATAAAGAATTGAAGACTGAAATGCTC